TTGTTAATGGGGAGAATTTTGGTTAAACACGAAATTAAAAAAAAAGGGAGAAACATTCAACAAACAATATCCGAAAAAGAAAATGAAAAAAAAAAAAACAAAAAATGTAAAAAAGGTATACGCCATCAATTGGAAAAAAGAGAAGCCATCAAAAACAGACTCAATCTCGTTGACAATCCGTGACATAGAACAAATGGAAAGAAACGATTTAGTTCTTAACAGCTTAGGTCGAAAGACAAATGCCATTTTAAGAGTATTTGCGCTAAAGCTACATGCGCCAAAATGAGTTTTTATTCTCATTTTAGTCATTATAAAAGAACATTAAACCCACCATCCTATCATGTGTGTATAAAAAAAAAAAAAAAAAAAAAAAGCTAACAACACTGGCCAATCTTCTAGGCTTAAGAAATCAATTCGTTCCATTCGATGGTTAAATTAATTATTCAACTAAACCGAAATTCGTACGTCAGTCAATCATAATCGGGTACAAGAAACTTCCTGGGCGATGCGTATTTTTGCAGCCTTGAAAACTGCTTTTAAAGGTACTTAAGGTCGGTTAGCAAATTGATTTGATTACCTTTCCCGTAATACCTGGTTTAAGGTTTGTGTACATCTTTTCACAATTAATTCCATAGGGGATATGATCTTAGAATATTTAAGCCACTACTTCTTCTATCGTAAGCTGTTATTATTATTATTGTTTAACTTCATCTATTTAACATTAAGCAGACATATCTCAAAAAAAAAGCGAAACTTGAGAATTTGACCTTAGGGTTTCGTATTGACTTTACTTGGCAAAATTATACTGCATGAGTCATGAAAGTGCTTTTCGCAGAAATGTTTGCTTATAATGCTGTGTGAAATGCCTTTTTCAAGTTCAGATTTAATAATTCGAAGATTAAGTTCGTGGCACTGTACCTTGCATGCAGAAGACCATAGATTTTATATACAATTTCTTGTTATCACTTTTAAAGAATCATTTACAGGAACTTATATTTAATAAAGCTTCAAACCTGCTCTTCGCCTTCTCTCTTCGCATATCACGATTCAATTTCGCTCGCCTTAACTGAATCCTCTGCTTGACTAACCCACATTTCATTCTCGATTTCTGCTAACTCTTTAATAATTTGAGTTTGCCGGGAATTTTTGTTAAAGTTTTCATCAATTGTCAGCAGGTTTTACTTGCCGCCGTGTACATTATACTCAATACTTTACGGTACTTTGTTTTCTAGGAAAAGCTAAGCAGTTTTCATACAGTCTTTAAGTCAAGGGGAAAGATCCACAAACTTCCTAGACTAAGCTAGCCTGCCGCAACTATAGAAAGGAAGTTAAATATTATAGAGTTTTTTGAACTTTCGTGGCATGCTGTCATGTTCTCCTCAGAGGCATAACATATAGCTTAAGGTGATATCATGTCCATTTGTTTGATGGTCATCTGTCAACGATTTCCGTAAAATTTGCATTACAAAGAAACGCAACATCCGCAAGTTTCGAAGCGAAGCTTTGGAAATCTTTATTAAAAAACCTGCAAGCGCGACTTGCTATCTGCCTTGCTAATGTCTCTGTTTTATTCAGTTCGATCCGAGAGAAATAAAATTTGTTTAACAATTTAAAATTTTTTTTTATTTATTTTTTATTTTAACACATACCTCCTTTTTAATGAACATAACATACCGCTCTTAATGCCAATTTCTTTTCTTTTTTTTCTTTTTTATGGGAAATTCACAGACAACATTGAAGTTCAAGAACATAGTTTTTCATTTAAAAAAGTTGAAAAAATGTCAAAATGTCATTTTTCTATAATTTAATTACAATTAACAAACAATTGTAAGATTTTTCGAAGTAAATTTGATTTTTGTTTATTGAATAGAATAGAGAGTAACATTTATGATTTTTTCTCTTTTCTTTTCAGGATAAAGGGTAACCGAAAAAAGTCAAATGAATTAGAGAGAAGTTTAAAAAATTCTTGCAAACTTAATTGTAGAAAGCAACTAAGAATACTTGGACTAGGTTTTCTCTTTTCATCATGAACGCGAAAACGTTAACTCAGACATGAGCACCACACTCCCCCTCACCGCCATTTTGCATGTTAAAAAAGTTAAGATGATAGATCTCAATTGATGCCACAAAAGTCTTCAGTGGTAATTTTAAACAATATTTTTCCAAGAAATCTGTTTGGGCTTTAACAAACGCAAGCGTATAAATTTATGGTTTCAGTTGCTTTGAAAGTTATCGATCGGTTTTTTTATAGTAATTGAAAGTTGCTGCGTCAAGCAGTTAAAAATTAACGTTAGTCCATCGGTCCGTTCGTCCGTGATTTGCTTGTGTTGTCCGGTAATTTTTCCTATAACTGAGATAGTAATCAAACTTTGTATGTATGCATTATATAGAGTCTGAAAAGCCTAAGGCTATTGGCTTTATTGAATAATGGCTCGACCACACTTGAGATTTGATCTCACGACCATTAAACTGTCAGACGAGACTCTTTGCTTACTCGGCCTTAAAATGAACGTAACTTGTTTCTCGAAACAATCAAAAGACTTGGAAGGAAGTTATAAGAACTCTTAAATAACTTGGAATATCAATTTCAAAAATTGTTCTTCAACTAACATGCTGCTATCAATTAACAGAAAACCACAGGTGAGTGTTTAATTTCTTTGCTCTTTTCATATTAAAATAATATTTTATTTTAATTATCAGTAACTTTGCACGATATGTGAGAAAAATAAAAGAGATGTAGATGTAGGAATTCTTCTTTACAACTTAGAAATAATTATATAATTATTAATATTGCATTTGAAGTAATAGTGAGAATAAGGGAAAAATGTAAAGAAAAAAACGATGTGAAAAGAAAAGCAAACAAAAGTGAAACGATAAAAGAAAAATTAACTATAATTGTAGTTCATTGCTATCTGTTGATATTTTCACTTTCCGGCCTTTGTTTCTTTCATAATTATTCATTATATATTTGCAAATGGATGGAAAGCCCTTTAAAGACTATCAATGCCAGCTTTACATCTGAAATTTGTTTTAACTAAAGCTATTAGTTACTTTTTCATTCTTCTCCCTTTTCTCCCAATAAAGAAACTTAAACATGTTTATCTATATACATATAAACTTATTTGTCTATAGCATATATATATGGGGTTTAAGTTTTTCCTTAGGATTAATTAGAAGATGAGTGCTCTCAAGCCATGTAGGGCAACGAAATATTTTTTTTTTGCGTTTCTAACGTTCAAAAATATCTGTCACAAGCCCCATGATAAGAGAAACATCTTTGCGTTACTTAAAACATATCCAGCTCTTTGTTCGTCCTCTGATCTTCTGTTAGTCAAACGTTCCGCGTCGTAAAAAGTTTATATAGAAAACTGAAATACGTATAAGCGAATTGAGGAGTAAACGCTTCAAGGGAAAGTGCCTTTGATTTACAACAAAGAAGAGATTAAAATGTGAAATCAATCGATTGGATTGATGAAAGGCTCATGTATACCTGAATGTATACTAAATCTGTCTCTTTGCGATTTTTACTTTTTCATACCAAGACTCTTGATATTAAGTTCGTGGCATTGAATTGTTGATTTTAACGATATCCTTGATTTTGTTTACAATTGTTTTTACAAATGAATTATTTACAGGAAAATATATAAACAGTATTTGGGCACTTCACGATTCAACTCTGTTGACACGGCATGGCTTCTTTAAAGCCAATCATTAATGCCAAACTTCACTATGACATTTTCTTGTTAGTCCCTTCTACCTATCAAAAGTTCCGGCAATCTTTTGTGAAATTTGCCACCAACCACCAGCTGTTTCAGTAGCAAGCCGTCATGAGTTTATGTTCCCCTTTGGTATTTGAAGAATTTCGTTTCCAAGAAAATCGAATAATACAGACTCGTTTTATCAAACGATTCATTTCAGCAATGGTATGCTCTCAACGCCGTTTTAAGAAATAAGTATTTGATTAACTTTTACTGGCGAAGCGCTTTACTTTCGGCTTGTAACGATTCTTTGACATCCAATTCGTAACACTTATCTGAACGGATATATTTCCAGGCTCGATGCTTGCGGAAACCGTCAGACACATATTTGCTATGAATGTTAGTTGAATACTGTGGCCAAGACGTACAACAAATATTCAAGCTAAATTTCGCGGGTATATCGAATATCAGACATTTCTTTTTTTTTCTAAATTGGCAACACTTGTCGGTGAAAGACAACTATGTCAAATTTCATCATTCGTGCGCTTGGTTTGTTTTCCAATTTTTACAATGTCAGTGAAACAGGAAATTCGTCCCTACTAGGACATCAAGAAACTCATTATTGGAGATGAAACTTTGATCTACGCATACGAACCGGAAAGAACCGATCACTTGAACGAATATTGCGCTAAAGGTAAGCTGAGAATGCAAATACCCCCAACAAAGTCGCTCAAAAGTCAAAGTTCTGCTAACAATATTTTTCGATTATCGCGAGTGTTGTGCATTGTGAATTCCTTCCGCCGGGCCAAAGTTTTAACAAAGAATATTATTTGAATATGGGGATTACTTTGAAGGCGACGAAATAGATTTACCTTAATAAACAGATTTAAAAAACAGGAAAAAAATTAATTTGTTCTTCTTTTTTGGATACAGTGATATGCTGCTTTGACACTACCTCTCAAGATGGCAAATTTAAGCGAAAAAGACTTTGAACTTGGCTACTCTCCAGGAATCGTAAATTTCCCCCATAAATATCATACCTATGTATGCAGATATCAAGGGAAGAGCTCCATATCACTTAAAAAGTTTCAAATTTTGTAAAACATAAAGTTGACCTCACATATCGACATGTAGGTTTCTGTAAATTCATTCGTTTATGGAGAAAACAAGTCCATGAGTGCGAGGAAAAGCATAATCATCATATTATCGCAAGGCGTGAATTCGACGTTAAAATCATTTAACTTAATCTCGTCAAATTCGTTTTTGAGCTTAAGACGAAGACGGTGTAATTGAAGATCCCAAACGAGGCAAGCAACGAACATATTAAAATGCAACTGAACTGCGACGCAAAACAAGTGCAACTCTAACCAAGATTCTCGCTTATCAGCGAAAGCATTTTTCGTTTCCATGGATAGATTATTAATAAATAATTAAACAACTTGATGAAATTCCATCTGGCACTCACATATTCGATGGACGATTATAATATTGGAATATTCGAAAATATTCATCGGCGAATAAAAAGTGACCAAAAAGAAAGAAAAAATTAAATTATTCATTCTTCTCGCTATCTTTTAACGGAAGGTAACAATTGTTGCATTATGTATAAGAAAATTTCTCTTTTCTCTTTTCTTTGCCCCTAAAACAATTTAATGAATATTGAATGTTTCTGTCAGATGACGACTATGACATTCATAATTGGAGAAAAAAAAGGGAAGAAAATTGGAAAGAAAGAGATGATGGCGGTATCATTAAAACAATATATATATATATATATATATATTGCGGCGCCAACACTTTGCATGGAATGAAATTTTTTTTCTTAACAAGTTTTGTTACTCTTAATTTTTGCTTTTCAATGAGTATAAACAGACATACAAACATGCGTACCTTAACATATATTATGATATTTACCTCCCAATTTTAATTTTATTAACAACACATGGTGCATCCGTCGCAAGCAATGAAATAAATACGAACATACTTACATCTATATACGTTCGTATTTATCAGGAGCACATAGTAGCAGCAGTAACACCCTGAATATCGTTAACATTTACCATCGTACGTACCATTGTACGTATGCTGGCTGGGAGGAGTCGAAGGAGTCAAGCAATTAATACCATTCGCTTAAGTGTGCACAGTGTAATGACAAAAATATTCAGCAAAAAAAAAAAAAAAAAAAAAAAAAAAAAAAAAACAAAACACAAAAAAAAAAAATAATAATGACAATTTTATAAAAAAATAAAAACAAAAATACATACATACATACATATATATATATTTCTATAAATATATATTTGTACAAGATACGTATCGCGGATTATGTATATTTGCAACGTTAGTAACAATAAATATGTGTGCGGAGCATTGAGACCCACACAGAGTTTTCCTATAGGCACATAAAGATCATAAGAGCAATTGCTGTTGCTTCAAACACCGACAATGCGCCGGCATTTTAGTGAAAGAGAGAAAAATATAAAAAAAAAATTCCGAAAAAATTGATTTTTCTTTTATACCATTTTTATACATATATACGTGTATGTGCGTGGTGTAGGTGAACGAAAAATTTAATGGGGGCTGCTTTCAAAGTCTTTACAATGTTGCGATGACAGTAGTATCTATGGTTCTTGTTTTTTTTCAACCCATAAAATGCTACACTAGAGAAAAATACGTTAGCCTTGCTGGAACTTTAGTAGCTCTAAGACTGCAGGATTGCAGGATGTCCCAGTAAAGGTAAAGGTATAGAGGAGTTTCTGATAGGAGCGTACTTTTGTTATCATATAAACTTAAGGGTGATTTCCTACGCTTGCCTAGTAATAATGTTGAAACCGGTTAATACAAAAAAAAAAAAAAAAATTAGGGAGAAATTTGTTCAAGAAAGTGTCTTACAGTCTCGAAAACCGAATTATGAAAATGAAAGCACTTCAAGTTAAGCTTCAAACTAACAGATATGTGGCAGCTCGCTATTAAATACATGGTGAGCCAATAGCAACACGCTAGATATCCTCTCGTCATTCTCATTATACACTTTTCGGTGCCTAACATGCTTCTCTCAAGCAACAACTTTGCCGCTTAAGAATAATATGAGTCTAAGCATTGACCGCAAAGAGATTTAAAGCATTTTTAATTTTTTGCTTTTGTAAAATATGACCAATTATCCGAGGACGTCTTACTTACCTGTAAGGCGGAAACGGTGAGGAAGAAGTACGGACAGAGAAAGGGATAGGGAGGGTTTCAGCCTTGTCGATATACACCCGATACGTTTAGTCTGCCCGTGTCTTTTATCATTTAAGAAAGCTTATTACGAAAGGAAGGTGGCACTGCCCTGATATTTAGTCGCCCAGTGAATTTGATTGATGTTTGCAATCTTCGGTAGAAGCAATAGCGAACAGTTTTTCCAATTGTTGTTGTTGGCCTACAAATGCAATGTTGCCTATCGGATAGAAACGAAAGGAAAATTTTTTCCTCAAAATTTCTTTAGCCTTTGGGAAATTTCCTAAAGTGTTGCAAGCTTTATTTCATAGAGGTTTTTCTAAAACACTTTCTCGCGATTTATTAGCCAAAGATCATCGATCTTTAATAACGAATATAATAAAGTAATAATTTTC